GCTAGGTGGTAGTACGGCGTCTCTTTTCCCATCTTTCCAGTTTTAATCTACTTGTGTTTTCATATTGAAAGTGCATTTTGTATAGGCAGCATAGAGTTCGTTCTTGTTTTATATCCAATCTGACAACCTCTACCTTTTAATTGTGGGATTTAGACTATTTGCATATGACGAAGTTTAAATCTGTCCTCTTATTTTTTCCTATTCGTCTTGTTGGAAATAAATTGAAATGTAGGGGGGACATAGAATATAAGTAGTAGAATTGCAAAAAAATATATAACCTTAATGTACGCAGTCTTGTAACAATGCATAAGCAACGCAGCTTATCAGGGGCCGTGACAAGGGTCAGGCCCGAGCACACTAAACAATGCATAAGCAACGCAGCTTATCAGGGGCCGTGACAAAGGTCAGGCCCGAGCACACTAAACATTAATAGCCCCCACCGGTTTCAGGAAATAGCTGGTTCAAAGGCCACCAAGCCAGACCCCGGGGAAGGTAAACAATTGAGAAATGCGCTAAAGGGGTGCCAGCCTGCTAAAACCCACCTGTAAACCCAAAAGGCGCCAGCTGAAGCCCACCTGTAAATCTAAAAGCGCCACAGATAACCAACAGTTGATCCTATCACAATATCCGTAAAAAAAACTGTATAAAAGCTGCTTGCATTGTGAATTCGGGGCCGCTCCTGTCCTGAAAACGGGGCGACCTCCAGCATGCCGGAAATAAAAACCTCTTGCCTGTGCATCGATCTCTGTGCCTCCTGGTCTTTGCGATGAGCCTTCCCATCAAGTTAAGATTCGTGCTTTTGGGCCGGTCTTACAGTCTCATCTACTCTTTGTTCCCTCTTTCCACTTTCTTCCTTCTTTTGCATTAGTTGTATACATTTATGATTTCCTGTTACCTCCTTAGCTGGCTAATTAGCTGCACATTTTTTTTTAATTTCAGTGGTCGCCTGAGGCTTCACACACCACATCCTTAACTATTATGCTTCTCCTGGGGCGTCCGACCCCTCAATTGAAGTCTGAGAGTCCACAACAGTGTCCCTTAGTCTCTCCCCTCCTAACTCTTTTGCTATTGCCACATCCTTAACTATTATGCTTCTCCTGGGGCGTCCGACCCCTCAAATGAAGTCTGAGAGTCCACAACAGTGTCCCTTAGTCTCTCCCCTCCTAACTCTTTTGCTATTGTTACTGTGTATCTTGCTTTTATATGTGTTATAAACGCCAAACTAGAGTGTTGTTATTTTTGTTTAAACAAGCATCTTTTAAAGAGATTTAAGTAAAAAAATCATGCATTTATCCACTTAGTATTCATTTCTGCTGCTTTGCATTCCTTTGGGTAAATCCATGTTTCCCTCTGATAATATTTTCCTTCAGCCTGAAGGACTTTCTTTAACATTTCTGGTAGTATGAATTGGCTGGTGATAAATTCTTTCAGCTTTTGGATGTCTTTAAAGGTCTTTATTTTGCCTCCACTTTTGAATGTATTTTCACTGGGTATGGAATTCTAGGTGGACAGTTTTTCTTCCAGTGCTTTAGAGATGTCACTCCACTGTCTGCTTGTTTTCATCGCTTCTGATAAGAAATCTTCTGACATCCTTATCTTTGCTCATCTGTTCCTTTTTATTTACTGGCAGAGTTTTAGAGTTTTAAATTTATAACTATTTTTAAAGTAGTTTGATTATGATGTGCCCTGGTGTAGCTTTCTCCATGTTTCTTGTGCTTGGGGTTCATTGAGCTTCCTGGATCCATGGGTTTATAGTTTCCATCAAATTTGCAACATTTTTAACCATTATTTCTTCAAATATTTTTTCTGCCCACTCCCTTTAGGGACCCCCAAATACTATATATTACGCCAATTGCAAGTTGTCCCATAACTCAACAATGCTCCTTTAACATCTATAAAAGCTTCTTTCCTGCGGTGCTTCATTCTAGACAGCTTCCATTACTATGTTCTTCTGTAGGGCTTATGCCCATCAGCCACTCACCCATCCAGTGCATTTTTCACATCACACATTGTGGCTTCATCTCTGGAAGTCTGAGTTGAGTCCTTTTTATATCTTCCATGTCCCAAGTTAACTTTATGAATATGTGGAATAGATTTCTGACAGCTCTCTGCATGACCACGCCTGCAGCAGTGCTGAGCAGGTTTTGATGGAATGATGTTCTCCTCAGTGTGGGTCATATTTTCCTGACTCTTTACCTGCCTAGTGACCTGTGGTGGATTATATTAAGTGTGGAGAGGCCCTGTGGGACCAAATTCCTTGTAGAACACCAAGTGCTCTGATTAGTTTCTTGGTCCCCAGCCATGCTGCCTCTGTCAGATCACTGTCCCCACAGTGTGCACTCCCCCTCAGCCCAACAGCACATGAGAATCTACAGGTAAACTATTCAGAACAAATAACAATTCACCAAGTTGCTGTACAAGATCAATAAACAAAAATTAATAAGGGCCCCACACATTAACAGTAACCAGACAGATAATGTAATAGCGAGAGCATTCACAATGGAAGCAGACGTACTGGGATTGCTTCCATTAGAAACCCCTTGGCCCTCCTACAGCAGTAACCCCAGTGTGTGGGCCCTGACGCGAAAGCTGTTAATGAGTGCTTGGGGTGTGGGGAGGCAATCGTCAGGGCTGGGCGTGCTGCCTGGGTAACCTGGGAGGGCCCTGGCCAGGTGGGCATGGGGAGGGGCTGAGCAGGTGCCAGGGACCCAGTGGCCTGGGCTAGATTTGAGTAAGGGCTTGCAGTGGTGCTCACGCAGAGGGATACATTAGTGGCTTTGTCGGTGGCAGTGTGCAGGACTGGGGGGTGAGGATGCACAGTGCGGAGGACAGGTATGGGACTTGGAGTGCCAGCCTGGAGAGCAGGGACACAAAACAAGGTCCAAGGTAAGGGGAGGGGCTCAGGCAGGTGCTGGTGACCAACTTGGCATGGCCAACAGGGAATAGGAATGAGGCCAGGCTTCTGCTACAGTGACCAGGAGGAGGGCTGAGAGGACCAGGCGTCTGGGCAGCAGACTGAGCAGCAGACAGGGACACACTCAGCTGTAAGACCCCTCACTTGCTGCACAGGAAAGTGAACATGGGCCTTCCAAGCCTCCAAGGCCATGGCCTCTCCAGCCTCCTGCCCCAACTCTGTGACTTCACTAAGAGCTCCAGACCCAGCCTCAGGGGCCGAGCTCAGATGCCCCTTGTCACGTCACATCACGTCACAGTTACGTGGTCCTGAGCCACTGACCGAAGTGAGTGTTTCCTTATCTGTAAATAAGCTGCAAAATCCCACTCACTTCATGGGTTGATGCAAGAGTGAAGACACTCTTCATATGAAAGCCCCTGGCACAAAGCGTCATGCACACATGCGAGCACATGTATGACCACACATGCATACACAGCAGGCTGGCTGAGTCCACTAAGACACAAGGATCTGCTTCCCCGCTGCTTCTTTTCCCCACTAGAGACTGTGAGGACCACTGCCTCAGAAACAAGCCAGCAAAGCCAATCACCCTTCACTGATGCCAACTCCCCCATCTCTCCCTCACCTACCAGGCTCCTCTGCTTGGCCCTCTCACCCCGTTCCCCCTCTTCCCGCTGTCCCTGCCCACGCCCTCCCCCTGCATGCAGACTGCCACACATGAGGGCCGCAGCCCTGCAGGGTTAACCCTGCCCCAGTCCCAGTGCACAGCCTTTGTTCTGGAGCCTTTTCTGTATCTGTAAACAATCCCTTTCCCACCTTCTTTCTCCACCTTGCCCTCAAGCCTTCCTTCCATGTCACAGCTGCTGTTGTCACTAAGTGGGTGAGGTCCCTGAATCCTGACCTAGACCACAAATCTCATTTCCAGTTGTCTCCCGAACGCACCCCCGAGGGTGCTACTGATTCCCCTGACCACATGGGCTCAAACTGAGGCTCGGTGTCCCCCACTCAGCTCCTGACGCTTCCTGGCCAGCCCCTCCTGCCCTCTGGCCTCACCTCCTCAGTCCACTCTCCTAGTTTATCCAGACAGTTTCTATAAACCGCAGCTCAGTTCTTATGGTTTCTTTGCTCTAAAATCTTTACTAATTTCCCATAGCTGCTACAGAAAGCTCAAACATCTCCACCTGGAATGGCGTGTCCTCTGCATGATGACTGCCTGTCCCATGCTGCCAGCCAAATAGATTGGCCTCCCCATCCCTGGCTCCAGCTGTCTCCAGGTCCCCCGCCCTCCACTCCCGTCACCCACTTTCAGCTCAGCACAAATGCAGCCGCACCATGGGACTTCTCACCCTCCTTCTTCTGAAATGCCACGCTTGCAGTGGGTGCCTCCCATGCATGCAACTCTGGCCTCACAGTAGCAGGTTTTGTATCTGCTATCCCCAGTGGATTGTGAGCCTGTTGAGGCCAGTGATGGGGACAGCTGACCCACATCACCTGCAGACTTCAGCGCAGAGCTCTGCACACAGGGCCCCTGGCTACATCCCTGTGGGGTGAACATGTGACTGTAGGGGCCCAGCAGGGATGAGGAGTTGGGAACTGATGTGGAATGGAGACAGCAGAGCTGGGCAGTCATGTGTGGAGAAGTGACCACTAATGCCTCGGGGCCTTAGCCATGTCCATACAGAGACTTGGTGGTGGCAGCCTGGGCCTCTGTGCCACTGTTCAGGTGTTTGGGGTTGGAGGAAGAGCAAAGCACTGGCAGGGACAGAAGAGGCCAATACAGTGCCCAGGTGAGATAGGCCCGAGTTTTGGTCAGGGTCACTTCCTGCTGTGGTCAGAAGCACAGAGGACGGCCTAAGGACTGTCCGGGACAGGAGGGTAACAGTGCAGGGCCCTAAGGGAAGCCCAGGAATGACAAGACGGGTGAGCCTAGGGAGCATTTCATTTTATCCCGGGAGAGAGAGGAAGGGACCAGCAGCGCCTAGAGAAGGGAGGGGGCTGGGAGAAGGGGCAGGACCAGAAATGCAGGAGTCAGTGTGGAAGGGGGACCGGCACCCCCTGACCCCCGCGCCTATGGTGTGCCTGTCCCTGCTCAGCAGGCACTGTCATTTGGGGTGGGGCAGTCCACCCCCCAAGAGGACCGGCGGGGATGACTCACACTGTCCACAGCGAGGATCTTGGCCCAGATGAAGACGAGTAGTGGCCTGAGCTCACGGGCTGAGCTCTGGAGCAGTTTCAGCACATAGGGGAAGATGCCGACAGACAAGGCCTAGGGGAGAGAGGACAGTCAGCGAGGGCTGTCTGCGAGGGGGCAAGGTGCACAGGGGCAGGTGGCATGCTCCGGACATAGCTGCGCCATCACCGTTGGCAAGTGTGGGAAAAGCGACAGGAGGGAAGGGCCTCCCCTAATGTACAGACGGGCTCCTCCAGGTTCATTCATCTCTGACTTCATTCCTGGAATTCCTCGACTGGTCTCAAGAGACTAGAATTAATCTACTGGGAACCATCATCCTCGCCCCCCGTGGGCCTGTCTGCTCAGGCCCCTCGATGGTGGTGCACACATGGGGAGCTGCATTCACCTCTCCCAGCTCACTCCCCACCTCTCTAACACTACATCTGCACCTGGGGTCAGCCTCGGGGAAGACACCTGCCCTGGCTAACACAAGGAGCAGCTCTGGTCTTCCCAGGGGCTCTCCGGTGCTAGTTCCTGGCAGCGTTATCATCCCTGGAGGCACCCCTTGCTCTCAGAGGCAGGGCAGTAAGAGAGGAAGGGGTCACAGTGTGTAGGACAACTGGGCAGTCTGGCTACTTTCGATCTCCGAAAGTTTTGCTATGTCCTTATCCCAACATGGCTGGAATTCCAAAGACTTCCCAAAGGTATTCCTTCTGCAGCCAGGAGAGTGGAGGCAGTGTGACCCAGGCCAACGTCCAGTGGCAAGGCCTGTATCCCTTCCCTGCTAAGGTCATGTTTAATGAGGAACGAGCACTTTGTTTCTCTGGTTCAGGTGGTCAGGCCCACACCTGAGAGCCAAAATCTGTACCTGTAAGAATACATCATTTATCCAGTACCTGTTCATATATAAGCAAAATTTCCAATTAGCAAAAGCTTTGTTCTTTACAGGACCAAAATTAGTTTGAATACAGGACCAAAATTAGTTTGAAAAAAGAAATAGCCACATAAAAGAAAATTTTTCTACAATGTTTCAAGTACATGCTTCTCTGTCTCCTTGAAGAGCATAAGGAGGACAGCCCCAGCTCCTCCACAGTGACTGAGCGAGGTCACCATGCACACCCGTGTGCACACACACACAGCAGTGATCCAGGAGTCACACCAGACTTTCCCCAGATGACTTGACTCTGTGGTGAGCTAGCCAGGGCCTCAGGCGCCTTGGAGTATAAACGGCCAGATGATGAGGGCTGAGTTATTCGTCCCACTTCAGATCTCTCTCTTCCTTCCATGTTGGAGTATGGATGATCATGCTTAGTTGGCATCACATAATGAAAAACTTAAATATACAGAAGCAGGGAGACTACTTTGCTAGACTCTGCACGCTCCTGGCCTCGCTCCTGAGACATTAACTCAGCACCCGCCTCGCCATCCTACCTCACCCGCCTGCTCCTCGCCTGCAGGACGTGGAAGCAAATCCTGTGTCACGCGACTTCAGCTGTGAACACTTAGCGTACATCTCTTAAAAAATAAGGTCTCTTTTATTAAATGGCCCGGATGATGAGTGCTGAATTATTCTTCCTACTTTTAGACTTTCTCTCTCTTCCTTCGAGAGAGTCTTGGGCAGACTACCAATTATCACTGTTGTTGACATTATATAAAGAAACATGAAAAAACATGATCACAATACCATTACCACGCCTAAAAAGATGGACAAGTATTCTTTAATAACATCCAATATCCAGTTCATGTAAAATTTCTAATTGTTTCAGGAATATTAATATTTCAAACTTCAACTTTTAAACTTTTACTTGCAAGCAGAACCAATCAAGATCTGTATGTTATAATTGGCTGATAGGTCTCTTGAATCTCCTTTAGTCTGTAGGTTCCCCTCAACCTCCCTTTTACTTTCCTTGTGCTTTATTGGCTGAAAAAATGATCACTTCTTGATTCCATTTCTGTCAATTTTTTCTGTTTTAAATGGCCATTTCTACCATTTTATAGAATGAGTAACCAGAAAAGTGTTTCAGAACTGTGCTTAAAAGAGTGAATGAGGATTCAAAAACTCCTCCTGGCTGTGGCCCGGGTGTGTGCCACAGTCCTCCAGGTGTGGCCTGGCCCAGGGGCTCTAGCTTCTCAGCAGTGGCTGGGGTGAGCCCTCTGTAGAAGGTGATACACCAAACACACTCTCTGTCCCGCAAAGTCGAAGTCTAACATCAGATGGAAGAACAGTGCGAAACAAAACAGAACCCCAAAACTTCATAGGCACACAGGGAACGTTGAGGGCCTTAGGATTTGCTGGATGTCCCCACGTTGGAAACTTACCCTGTATCAAACAGCTGTGGTTGGTTCTGGATCAAGAAATAAGATCACAGAGTGACATGGAGCCTACTCTCCACCCCACCCACCACTCCCAGAGTTAATGCAGAAGGCACGCACCAGGCTTACCGCCCAGGGGCCCAAGTCCAAGAATCTTCCCAGCAAGTCCAAAGCTCTCAGCCGGTGCACTTGGCTTAACAGCACCTGGAAAGATAAGAATGAAATCGTGTCACTGCCGAACTGTACTGAGGTGCAGCCCTTTGAAAAAGTTCCCCGCACAAGCTGTCAGCTGTGCAGGGGTCTGACCACACTACTCAGATCTGTCTGCTGGTTCATTCATTCATTTACCTACAGCGGGTGCTCCGTTCTCTACAGTGCATGCTTTGATATAGGTTAAGAAAACACTTCTTGTTCCTTCATTACACAAGTAAAATATGCTCACTGCAGAAAGTCTTAGAGCAAACACTTTTAAATTACATTTAAAAAAATAACACTGGTGAAATTTTGGAATGTAAAATTCCAGTCATTGTTCTTTGTATACACACTTCCCTTATTTATTCTACACTGGATAATGTATTATTATATTTCTCATCTCCTTTTTTAACTAAATAATACATGGTGAGTACTGTTCCACATCACAAGGTATGTCCTGGCTGTGTCAAGTGCATAACTTGTATAAACAATTCCGACGCTGGATGTTTAAATTATCATCAAAGTTTCGCTATTATAAAAGTGTTGTGCTAAGTATCCTAACAGGCACATCTCCGCACATTTACATGCTTTTTTCCCCAGGACAGATCTGAGAATCAAAATCACGGGGCTGGAGAACACGTACTTATATGACCAAACTTCCCTCCAGCTGGACCGAATCCTGCCTCGAGAAGCAGCCCGTGGGTGCTACTCCCACTGCCTTTGCTGATGACCACGCAAGCTCATGGCTACGTGACCTTGGGCAAACCACTCCACATCACCGAACCTTAATTCGTTAATTTATAAGACAAGGAAAATAAAGTACCTACCCACAGGGTTTTATTAAATTAAATAACAAATTAAACACCTGTAGGACAATACTAGCCCATATGACACTAATATCATTTGCTGATGTGACAGGTGAAAATATATCCTTTTAATCTAAATTTCTCTGGTTACCTGTGAAGTTAAGTATTTTTTCATAGGATAACTGGCTACTTCTCTAGTAGTCTGGCCATGCATGTCCTTATTGTCTACTTCATTTGGCTCTTTCCTACTGATGTGTAGGGTTCTTTATCAAATAAAGAGAGCAACCTTTGACATGTGTTTTGCACACATTTTCTCTTTTCTTGTTATATCAAAGTTTTATGTTTTTCATGGAGTCATCTATATTGACTGTTTCCTTTATGGTGCTTACACTGGAGGGCATGTGTACCAAGTCCCTCTGATCTGGAGCATTTCTGTCCACTGCCTCTACCATTTCCTAACAGTGTGGCCTAAATTATCAACTTCTGGAAACTTCAGTTTCCTTATCAAGAAAAACGGAGATAATAATACTTGAGCTTCTCGAAATTACATGAGATAAAGAATGTAAAGGATGAGGCTTTTGGTCAAGATGGCAGAATAGACAGTCCCCAGTGTCACTCTCTCCCACAAATCAATCAATCAATTTCCAACTATAAAAAAGCAACAACAGCCAAGGTGGGGCTGCTAGAGCTCAGGGGAAGAGGAGGAGAGACCTACGGAGTGCATGAAGGTGGGAGAATCCACAATGAGAGAAAGAAAAAACTGCTCTGACCATTTCATGCCATGGCCGCTTTAAGGCTGAAGCTGCTGAGCACACAGAGCAGGAGCTGGCAAAAGCTGCAGCTGTGCCCTTCAGATGAAGTTCCATGTAGGCGGCAGGGGAGAAGAGGGCCTTGGTGGCCCCCAGGCCAGCAAGACCACTAATAGAGTTCCCATGAACCCACATAGGACCAAGGAGCCACAACAAGTGAAAAAAAGGAGCCACTCAGAGGCCAGTGAGTCATCGCAAGGGACAGGCTGTGTGCCGGGAAGTGTTTGCAGCATGGGCGGTGGGGGAGACAGGCCCACTGGGGGAACACTGGGGCACAGCAAGGACAGCTGATCTGCCTCCCAATCAGCACAAGACCACTCAGAGGAGACTGCTCAAGAATATAGAATTGCATGGGGTGCAGTTTGATGAAAAGACTCAGGCCCAGATCAGAGTTTCTACACAACCCAGGTGTGCTGGGTCTCTGGAGAGCCAGAAGTACCTACAAAGTGAAACATTAAAACCTGAGCCACACAAAAAGCCTTCCCTAGGGATCAGCAGCAAAGTAGCAATTTAGTTAAACCACACAGCTCAAATACTGGTCCCCACAGGAAGTTCCCCCATTCTAGAAGTAAGCAAGGACAAAAAATTAGTTCTGGCCTAGGCATATTGCCAGTGTCTCGGGGCCTGCCCAGGGGACCCGAAGCATGAAGCTGAGGACTGGACCCCCCCCAACCAGGCACACCACCAGCACCTTGGGGCCTGCCCAGGATCCGGGGACTTGAGGCATGGTCCAGGCACCAGACCTCCCCATCAAAACCAGGCACACCACCAGAACCAAGGAGCATGTCGAAAACGTCACCTCCATGTTGGCGGCCCACCACAGCCACCACAGTAACCACGGCTGCTGTGAAAGTGGCTAGACGCCACAACCACCATGCAGATGGTTCACCAGCCAGTAGAGTACACTGACACAAGGAGTCACCAGCAGAGACCAAAGAAAAGAAGAAGATGTCTCTCTTCACAAAGCCCATTCCAGAGTGACAGAAGCATCTGGTCTATGGTAATATTGGGGGACCTGAACACACCTCTCAGCATTGGACAGCTCATCTAGGCAACAAATCAAGAGTAAGCATTACTCTTTTATTTTTATTTTATTTTTTAAAATTTTTTGTCCTTTTTGAGACTGGCTGCACCGCGCTCAGCCAGTGAGCGCACCGGCCGTCCCTATATAGGATCTGAACCCGCTGCGGGAGCGCTGCTGCGCTCCCAGTGCCGCACTCTCCCGAGTGCGCCACGGGCTCGGCCCATGCATTACTCTTTTAGAAGGAGAGAAGAAATCTAGGGTTATCAGAGGTGGGAGGGGGGAGTGGGAAGGGAGAGTGAGAGGGGGATAGGGAGAGATTGGACAAGGGACATAAAGAATAAGTACGATTTGTAGTAATATTGATTTGATAAATGTATGTCAGCATTGAACCCCCAAAATATGTATAATCGTGATTCAATAAAAATTAAAAAAAAAAAAAAGAATGTAAAGGATCTAGCGCGATGTCACAGTTCCAGAAGTTACAGGACGGCTCAGCCTTTCAGAAGCCTTTGGACTGGCGACTGCTTGTTTTTAAAGCACACGAAGCTGCCTGAGGTTCAAGATTCTAGATGATCCAGGGCGAGGAGAGCCTTCTGTTTTCTAGGTTTGTGGAAGGAGGTGGTCCTAGTCTTAGCTTCAATCCATCAAAAATCAATGACACCAAATATACCTAAAGCTTACAGAGATGGTTTTATGATCGCTGTTGATGTTTAAAACCCTGTAAACAGGTACAAAGCTCAGTTTTTAAGGTGAGCAGCTGCAGATTAACTGGCAGTGCAGGAAACAGCTATGCAGGGCTGAGAGGTCTGATGAGAGCAGCTGCATCACCTGTCTTACATGTGCACTGACCCGGTAACAAGTCTCCATCACCATGTTTTACGTGCAAATGACAAAACCTGAAGGGACGCCAGTTCACAGTCTCCACTATGACATGACCCTCTCTGATTCACTCAGCCTCACACGGCAAGAGAGGCACATGCTGAGGAAACACACATTAGTGCCCCACAGCAGTTAAAATTGTTTTTAAAATAAGGACTGTTTTCTTAATAGGTTTGTATTTGTACTTTAAAAAACCCTGCCCCAGGATCAATGGAAATTATAGAGACAAACAACGGTGAACTGAATGAATTATTGAAATTTCTTTTCACCTGAGGCAATCCAAACTAAAGATTAATCATGGCCACACGAATTAAAACAGAACTCGAAGGTAGTCAAATTTCATTTGCCTTGTGCACAAAGAGAGTGTTCCAGCTTCTGAACTGAGATATATTTGGTAGAGCTGCCTGGTAAAAAACCAGACCCTCAAGTTCCAGCCCTGGAGTGCTGGAGCCTGCAGGCCGGGCGCCCAGGAACATCTGATAATCAGTGTAATTTTGGAGTCACTGAGGTTTATAATACGTACAGTAATAACACCGAGGCTATTATCCTGCTGCCGCCTAATAATAATCCTGTACTTTCAGACCCCAAATCTTATTTGTAAATAAAATGATGCATTGAGAGCAAGCAAGGTTTTCCTAATGAAATAAATGCTCAAACTGATTTGCAAGATCTGTGTTAAAGGTGCTAAAATTTTATCCTATAAAATAACTTTCTTCCCTCTCCTTTTTACAGTATCGATATTCCTCATTCTTCTGCCAGGGGCTTCTCTGCTCACATGCCACCCGAGGGGAATGCAGACAAGAACGTCAAGTCATGGGCAGAGCCCCCGCAGAACCAAAGGCCAAGTGCACCAGGACTTTGCAACCCTGCAATATTTCAGAATCCTCCGGAGGTGACAGCGCCCAGCAGACACCACCAATGAAGAGTTGTGGCAAAACAGAAAAAGTTTTTTAAACATGAGGTCTTCCTATTCCCTCTGCTGATTTATATTTTTAAAAGGCAGAAAAGGACGTGGAGGCTGGACAAGACAGGCGTGTTTCCACATTCACATTTACACAAGGGACACACAGCAGCTGGCCTGTGCGACGCCTCACAGGACCCTGGACAGTCAGTCAGCAGCTAGTGCCACCAGGTTTGAGGAGGAGAAAATTCACTCTGCCTTGGGGAAAAAGGAGCAGGGATCTGAAAAGCTATAAAGACTAAAATTCTCTCCCCTGAAGTAACATTGTCTGACTTGCCAATGCACCAGAGGGTAATTTATGGATAACAGGGTCCAGGCTTTGGCAAAAGTGAAGGTTCTTAAGATAAAGTATGGGGAAGTTAAGCAAATTAATGAGAGAGAAGCTGGCCCTCTGGGCCACGCCAGAGGGAGCAAGTCCCCCTGTGCACTGTCGTTCCTCATTTTCCTGTGAGCAAAGGTTCACACGTTGATCCAGGAGGGGCACAACAGGAGACAGGCCTCTCCAGAGGGAGCAAGTTCCCCTGTGCGCTGTCGTTCCTCATTTTCCTGTGAGCAAAGGTTCACACGTTGATCCAGGAGGGGCACAGCAGGAGACAGGCCTCTCCATCATGACGGAGAATCTGCAGCACGTTTGTGTGAAGAGCATGCCTCACTTTCTTTTCTGAGTTATTTTCCCTTATTTTGCTATCCGAAAGTTGGCTTTACTAGGATCTCTCTTTCCCTGAGGGAGTGTGGATTGTAAATGGAACATTAAAAAAAAGTCAATAGAAGGCCACTTACAAAAGGATTGTGTGCCAGACCTGAAGAACTGGATTCAACACGCTTGGCATCGTGCTCCTGTTTTTGAGAAGACGGTACTATCCATCACATTGCTGAAATAACAGGCAGGTTGGGGGAGAGCCACAGTGTCCTCAGATGGACATTCTGGTGACCCAAGTGGAGTTGTGGAGCACAGCAGAGCCAACCTGTGCCACTGCCAACCTCCAGATCCTGTCTGTCCCGTCACTCATACCGATCCACCTTCCTGCACTCGTTTAAAGAGAAAGACTGGCCTCCACCAAACGTCCAGTGATTTTGGCTTTGTTGCACTTTTTGGTTTTGAAAATGTTTGTTTATTGCTTACCTTATAATCTCAGGATGTCCTTAAACTAATTTAGAAGCATATAAGAGGAACAGTAATAATTTTTGCATGCATTTTATAACGTCTGGAAGGAAGCAGGTACAGAGTACAAAAGGCACAAAAAGGACCTGTGGTGAAGAACTGCACAGCGTCATTCTTTGTTGTCCCCGGACTGTTGACGCAGACGGCCATTGTCACATGTCCACAACCTGTATATGCACGTTCCCTCCTCAGCTCCCTCTGCTGGCTGAGATTCCTGAGAGAGGGGACACCTCAGTTCTGCTGCGTGAAGACTGAGCCCCCATCCCCGGCTGTCTGAATGCTGGAAGGGAGGGTCGCCTTGTCCCGTGACCACGGCAGAGATAAACTGTTCCTCTGTTCTTAAATGTCCCCGCAGAAGCGGGAGCCACTCAGAGTGAACATTTGGTCTGGAGGAGATTGATGATGGTGTCCATCACAATGAGGTTAGCAACCTTGATAAGAAAGTACAAGCCCTTCTTGGAAGGAAGTGAGGTACATGTCCTTAGACAGGGGAATGATGACTCTCACGTCCCTACTCCCAAGAGGCAAGGTAACCTACCTAACCAGCCTCTGGGGAGGAGATGAGCCGACTTCTCTGGCACTCAGCATGGCCGGCCCGGAGGCGGAGCTCCTTCTCTCCACGCAGCTGGGAGGGCCCCCCGTGCCCTGCTGCTGGCACAACCCTCCCCACGGATGTCCACAGCTTCTGCCCACGTTCAACCACCCCCACCCCATCATGAAAAATCTTTTCCAGCTTCTGAAGTGAGTCAATAGACCTTGGTGTCTACACTGACCAATGGTGGCTAAACTCCCTGGATGCTGTCCCAGAGTAAAGCAGTTTTTTTTTTTTTGTCCTTTTTGAGACCGGCCGCACCGCGCTCACCCAGTGAGCTCACCGGTCATCCCTATATAGGATCTGAACCTGTGGCGGGAGCGCTGCTGCGCTCCCAGTGCCGCACCCTCCCGAGTGCGCCACGGGCTCGGCCCTAAAGCAGCTTTTCTTACACCACGATCTGACCCACACACCTCCCCACAAGTTCACATTCACTGAAACAAAAGTTTTGTGAAATCTTCCTAATTTCACTGCCTATGAAGAACCCGGTATTTCCCTCCAATCTCATCAACCAAAAAATAAGCTGTTGGGACCTGAGAAAATGATCTCCCAACCCAGGAACGGGTCATGGTCTGAATGTGATCAACGCCGGCCCAGGCACCGCGCCTGGGTGAGCCCCGAGATGCAGGGTGGGAGCCCACCAGGGCCTGTCCACAGCTCGCTCATGCACCTCTTCCTTTCCCTCCGGGACCGGCTCACAGCTCATGTCCTTCCGAAACAAAGGAGGCAGTGGTGCTGAGAGCCAGCATGACAGGACGCTTGTTTGAAATTCCTGAAGTGCAAACGGGAGGGGTGGGAGAGGGCAGCTGGCGACATTCCACATTCATATTTAACTGAGGCTGGAGGAGGGGAATTCAATGACTTTATCAGGAAAGCCCTTTAGGGATAAATATGCACTTGGCCCCAGTGATTCCTCATTGGATTTGTGGCCCAGAGCACAGCCACAGGCACCCACACACCCCTGGGGACTTGTGTGGATTTGGGCTTCCTTCCAGGGAGACCACAGCCCATCTGGCCTGGCTGCAGAAACTCACCTGCAAGACAATGGGTAGCTGCTCAGGGGGGTTCCTGTTCTCCACGCCCATCGTGAGCCACACCTGGAACGCTGTCAGCTGCTCAGCAAAGAACGGGCTGTGCTGTGGGACAAGCAGAGGGGGTGCTTGTTAGGGACCCACGGTTCTCCAGGAGACAGGCTTGCCGCTGCATGCCCCACCCGGCAGGACCATGACAGTCCAGGGGAGGGACGGACGGTGCTGAGAAGGGTCAGGATGGTGGTGAGAAGGGTCACACTCTGCATATGCTGTACAGGAAGAGCCAATGAGACTTGTGAGTGGACCAGAAGTGGTAAGAGAAAGAGGGGGTCGGGCATGGCACCAAGGCTTCAGGACTGAGCACCTGAAGGATGAGGTCACCGAGAAGGAAGCTGCAAGAGAAGCACGTTTGGGAGAAGAGTGTCAGGCATTCAGCCCCAGACATGCTGAGCTTGTGATGTCTACTGGATATCCAGTGAAGACACCACTGGGCAGCTGACTACACAAGTCTGCGGTTCAGGAGAAAGGTCTGGGCTAGAGACACAAATTTAGGAGGCACTGGCACACAGATTTTTTTAAAAGTTAAGTGAGAAAGAGAAGGGACCCAGGACCGAGCCTGGGGCCCTCTAATATAGAGGCCAAAGAGATGAGGAGGAATCTGCAAAGGAGACAGTGAAGCCCATGGAGGGACAGCAGGAGCACGCGGTGGGCTGGACACCACGGACGAGAGTGTGTTGAGAGGACGACCTGATCAGACCCATCAGGCAGCCTATGAGGCCCCTCGGGGGATGACCGCAAACAAGTTCACGGTGGATCCTGTGCGTGGGCCTGGGCTCCCCAGCTGGCCTCACTGTGTGGCCGCAGCTCAGAGCACACAGTGGTGCATTTGCTCGAGCACTGTGGGGGTGGAAGGTAGAGGGAGTACGGGGAGTAGGACCTAGTTCCTGGTCGTGGGGAAGGTGGGGTGAGGACGGCCAACAGGCGGCAGGACCACTGGCCCGGTGCTAGTGAGTCAGAGGGACACTGGAGTCAGGGTTGGGGGGACAGCAGGAGAAGCTGGCAGTGGGTCATCACGTTGGCTTGTCCTCACACAGCTAGGGGCTGCAGAGTGGTGCCTTTACCAGCAATGACAAGCACCAGGTAAGCCACAGGAAGGAGGCTCAGGGAGGCGGGTGACAGGCCATGGGGAGAGGGTCTGGGAACTGGAAAGCCTGCTGGGTTTCTCTTTCTTATAGGGCCATTTCAGCTGAAAGCACAGTTCTGCCTTCCTTGAGTCCAGAAGACAAATCAAACACAACTCAAAAAATAGAACTCTCTCCCTCCCATCCCCTTGCCCCTCTTTCCCGCTTCCTATTTTCTCCCGGAGGGAAGCGGTGACTGCGTGTGAGAGGAGGAGGGCAGGGATCCCCTCGTCCCTTGCCATAGCAGGGTCTGGCTGTGCTCCCAGGTCCCGGCTCATGTGGACACGTGTGGACGCGTACACGCATGGGGCAGGCACTCTGGAGCCCACCTCCAGGCGAGCCCACGGGGAAGCGGTGCCGGAGCCTGGGCCTTCATAAGGAGTCAGCACCTGGTGAGAATTCGGCAGGGAATGTTCACCCTTTGGGAATTCACGTTTCTGCACATCTGCTTATGTAAGGTAATCCCATTTGCAGGGCAACCTGTGAAGGTGGAATGGAGCCCCCAATGTAGTTTCCTGTTTTCAAGTGTGGATTACTCACAAATCGGTTTAAAAGAATCTCATTGGGTGCCTGCCCCCCACCCAGTGAGAACACAGCTGTCCTGAGTTAGGGAGCACTCCAGTCTGTGAGTGGAAGCAGGCCATGTGGACAACCACACCTCCTCTCTCTTTCACATTAGCTTTCACCCTAGAATTCTCACATGTCGCTCACTGCTGGAGCAACTGCTCCACGCAGAAAGATGACACTTCCTGATTGTTCCAACTAAAGCCGAAAGAAAAGGAAAAGCAGGCCGTGGCAGCAAGGCGTGCTGTGACGTTTGCCATACTTCCTGAAACCATGGGGAAGCTGACAAGTCAGGGCCACTCCTGCCACAAGAGTGGTTCCACATTTTAAATAATGTTCTATAAAGCATCTTGAGAGCTGCCCCACATTTCTCTAACGGTGATTTATGGAGATGATATTCTGGACCAAATCTCCCAGACCACCTCCACTGCGTGTCAAAGCCACGGTGTAGATTCTTGGGGGAAGCGGAACCAGGATGAATGTTCTGGAGGACAACTCTGGCGCTCATCCTTGTGGGCGGAGGGCTAAGTCACCTGGCTGCGACCACATGCCTGGGCCGCCCAGGACAAGTCTGTTGCTGGGCGCTGTGCTCTGCTGCCAGCCCAGGAGTCCCAGGATTTGTGTTCTACAAGCAGGTGCCCACGCAGACCACATGCCTGGGCCGCCCAGGACAAGTCTGTTGCTGGGCACTGTGCTCTGCTGCCAGCCCAGGAGTCCCAGGATTTGTGTTCTACAAGCAGGTGCCCACGCACAATGGAGCGAAAATGGGAAGGTCAGGGGAGAGCCTCGGGGTTATGACTAATCCATCCGGACTTTGCTACGGCTAATCTTAACGCACCTGCTGTTTTTCTCATTTGCTGTTCCTGATCCAAACATGCTGAGGTTGGCTGACGTCTGTCCTGACAAGCCATGCCTCCGTATGTTTGGATCAGGGATAGCAAGTGACAGCCTGGCCATGATACGCTTAAAAGTCACCTGCCAGGGGTCAACCTGCCTGGATGACTTCTCAGTTTGCATAAGGGCTCTCTCTAATCCCTCCAAGAATGTCAATTATCCTGAGCTTCCCACTATGTGGGAATCCTCCTCCTGGACTCTCTCCCGGCGTCGACACACACCAATGCTGATAGGGGTCTATTTCGTTGTTAATTAAATCTGCCACTTCTTTTTTTTTTTTTCCTTTTTGTCTTTTTTCGTGTCCGGCAACGGATCGCAACCCTCAGTGTCGCGCCCGTACTGGACCGGGACCGGCAACGGGATCGCAACCCTCGGCGCTGCGCCTGCACCTCGCTCAGCCAGTGAGCAGGAACCAGTCTGTATGCGGGATCCGAACCCTCGGCGGGAGCGCCACCGTGCTCCCAAGCGGCGCACTGTAGCAGTGCGCCACCGGGCCGGCCCTAAATCTGCTACTTCTAACTGTTGATTTTGGAAGAGTGACATATATACTAGGCTTTCTTTTTGTGTATCTAGAAATGAGGTTTTAAAATGAGGCCAGGAAAGTATGGGCAAGCACCAGAATAAAGTAGTAAATTTAGTGAAGCTGCTATACAAGATCACTTGCAAACAAACTATATGTATATGTACATGAATAAGGAGAAAATAGAAAACTACATTTAAAGGTACCATTTACAACCATGTTGATGGATTAGAAGACTCAATGGAGGGCCGGCCTGTGGCTCACTCGGTAGAGTGCGGTGCTGATAACACCAAGGCCACGGGTTCGGATCCCATATAGGGATGGCCGGTTCACTCACTGGGTGAGCGTGGTGCTGACAACACCAAGTCGAGGGTTAAGATCCCCTTACCGGTCATCTTTTTTAAAAAAAAAAGAAGACTCAATGGATTCGCAGAGTCACTGTGATCTCTATCAAAATCATGGCAGGTTATTTGCAGAAATTAACAAATGAGTAAAATTCATATGAAAATGCAAAGGGCCAAAAGTAGCCCCAATAATCTTGAAAAAGAACAAAGTTGGAAGATTTAGACTACCAGCTTTAAAAAGTCTCATAAAGCTTTCACGATGTCGACTGTGTGGTACTGATGGAAGGACAAAGCCCCCAGCGGTTCTGAGAGCGCCTGGGAACAGCCCACATATAGCTGCCACCGGACTCCATGCAGATAACAAGGGGAGAGCTGGAGAACCACGCGGGGAAGAACGTGCCCCTGCCCCACCCACACCACACGTATGAGGGAATTCTAGAGAATGCAGGTCTGACCGTGAAAGGGAAAACAAGGGTGCTTTAGAAGAAAAAGAGGACAATATCTGCTCAGGGATGCTCCTGGAGTCAGGGAAGACTTCCTAAAACAGGATACCAAAAGCCCTAATCACAAAAGAAAAAAGAACTGATCAACTGGACTTTGTTAAAATAAGGGAACTTCTGTTCATCAAGAAAAAACATTTAAAAAGTGAAAATGAAGTCCACAGCATGAAAAAGGATAGTGACACCATGTGACCAAGGATTTGTATTCAGAATATGTATGGAACCACTACAAATCAATAAACAATAGATAGTACAAAAGAATAATGGTCAGAAGACCTGAGCAGATGATTTACAAAAGGGGATATCCAAATGGCCAATAAAAATGTGAAACGATGCTCTATTAACCATCAGGGAAATACACAATAAAATCTCAAGAAAATAATTTTTGTACCAAACTGTAATAGACAAATAAATAAACAGCAGCTAAAACTCTCCTACGCCGCAGGTAGGGATATAAACTGACTCAGTCACTCTGGAGAGTGGCAGCATCTACTGGAACCAAACATATGCGAACCCATGACCCCGAAGCCTCTCCTCTAGTGGATACACATGACAGAAACGGGCACCCACATTCACCAAAGCCACATGCAAGGAGGAGCGGTACCTGGGCTGGGTCAGGAGTCAGGAGAGTGGGGCACAGGCCTCAGGCACACAACTGAGTGGGAGTGGGTGGGTGGGTGGAGGAGGGCACCAAAAAACTCAGTAATGAAGATAAATAATATTTATAAGCAATATTGAAAAAGAAAAAATTAATGCAAAAATTCATAATGGATAAAATGTCAACATTTCAAATAAAGACAGGACCAGTAGTATGGATTTTTCTTTTTGCCTTGGACTCCAATGTGGCTGGGCTTGGCACAGGATTTGCGAGGGCTGCAAACTAAACTTCAGATGCCCACTGGCCAAAGAACAGACAGAAAAGTTTTGGAGTATTCAGACAATGGTATTCTACTGTGCAATAAGAGCGAGCTACAACTACAAACAACAAAGACAGCGTTGAGTGAGAGCGGTCAGACACAAGGACTACATCCTGCATGACCCCACTCACCCAAGCACAAAACCGAGGAAGCGGCTACTTGGGGGGCAAGCAGTAGCTAGAAGGCAGCATGGAGGGGGTCGCGGGGCCGCGAACTTGCAGCTGCCGATGCGGGCGCTGGCTATGTGAGCACGCTTGATGTGTGTACATTCATCCAGCTGAACATTCGTGATATTTACAGTTTTCTATGTGCATGTTACACCTCCAAAAAACAAAACAGAAAAGTGAAAACACAATTAAAAAGCTAGTGTGCAGTCCACATCCGTTGTCCTTTCCCTGTCCCTGACACCCCAATTTGGTGAAATTACCCCCAAATATGGAACACGGATACTGATAGGTTAGAAGTGATACAGTAAGATCCTTGGCAGAGATGCCTGGCACTGAAACAAGTATTCAGTTTAGAAGGAACACACATACAGATAAAAACTGTATTGTTTTATACAAAAGCAGACAGTTTGGATCTCTCAAGAGCACAAAGTGAAAGCATGCTCAGAGTTCAAAAAAGCCAAAGTGCTTTCTTTATGAGGTTTTCCAAACGTGTTTGCAGCAACAGCCTGTCCTTCCCAGGACTGCCCAGGCCCTTGAAAGCCGCTCTGGTGGGAGTGGAGGGCTGGGGACACATGGCAGGGAGGCCAGTGGCAAGAACGCACGAGGGTCATGCACTCTGTCCTAAGCACTTTACCCACACTCACTTGTTTAGTCCTCACAATGCCCCCTTGAATCAGGGGAAACTGAGGCTCAGCCCAGTGAAACAGCCAGGCACCGTGTGGGCGAGGTCAGGGCCCGGGTGATCCTCACCCTCTCTCACGTCACTGCAGCCTCCGTGGATGGCTTGGAGCTGCCCCCACGCGGCAGTGCTTTTTGCCTATGTGCCTGTGCCAGGCTGCCCCGCACCCTCCAGCCCTGGGCCAGCTGTGCCTGCCATGCCCTCTGCCAACTTCTAACTTGTGCTCTGTCTTGGTGTGGGAGGCTCTTCTCTTTTCTCGGGGGTCTCTCGAACAGGGGCTGGGTCTTACTCATCTATACCCATACTTGGTGTCTCAGATGTGGCAAATGCTTGATAAATGAAACACCGAGAGGGGCTCTCATGAGCGGCTGCGAAGACCCCGGGGTGGAGGTGCGTTTACTGTCAGGTGCCATGCACCAGATGAGGTCCAAGCCACACAGGAGCAACTCAGCTCCACCGCCTGAGCAGCCTGGCCTGGGGACTGGACACCTGCAGAGCTTGGGCATCACGCCCACAGCGATTCCCATGCAGGTCACTGTCCCACAGCACTAACAGTCATGGGTTGTGGGGAAATCCATGCTCCACATGGGGTTAAAAGGCGAGGATACATAACGCAGATCACCACTCTCAGGGAGGAGGAAGTCAGCATTAAGAAAAGCAGATTTATAATGGCAATGTTTTCAGACAAGATATTTTAAAACGTCAGTCATTTCAAAATCTCTAATCCCTGGTTGACCCAGTCTTTTTTTTTTTTTTTTTTTCCTTTTTGAGACCGGCCGCACCGAGCTCGCACTGGCCATCCCTATATAGGATCCGAACCCGTGGCGGGAGCGCTGCTGCACTCCCAGCGCCGCACTCTCCCGAGTGCACCATGGGCTCGGCCCTGACCCAGTCTTTTAAACTCTGGTTAACTTCATTTTTTCTGGGGGTGGGGTGGTGGGGTGATAAAGTCTCTGACACCCCAGGGTCCTGGGTGCCACACCCAGACTAGGGGCATTGGTGGCCAGGTGCCTGGGGACTCACCCGGAATGCAGTGCCCTCCTCTATGATGGTCGGCAGCTGGGAAAGGCAGATGTCCACGGCGAGGTCCCAGGCCTGCCTGGGAAGAGAGTAGAGGGGAACGTTACTGAATGGCCCTGCAGCTGCGGGGCGCTCATGGGGCACAGGGGGGAGCACGTGGATGGTTGCTCCAGAAACACTCAGAACGGGTTTAGGCTGCAGAAAACACCCGACAGGGGTAGGGAGAACATGGGGCATGGGCACCACAGTAGCTGTTTGGTTTGTTATATTTTTTCTCTTTAAAATGAGAAAAAGGCTTGGGAAAAATAAAGGAAGTCTCCCTGTTTCCAGTGTGGTTTCTGACCCCTACTTGAAGGTATGTGACATGCAGCCCATCTGTTCCTCGAGCAACCGTGGTCCCTGTAGCGTCACTGGCAGGGGAAAGGAGGCCTGATCTGAGGAGGCTGGGTAGCACCCACACAATCCATGGCCACCGCAAACTTAGGACTGTCAGCAGCACTGTGAGGCCCCAGCACGCCCTCACTGGAGTGGACTGGACCTGGGCCCCAGGAGGCCAGGGGTGTGCTGGTGGCCCCCACAAATCACTCGGGATGTGACCCGGCCCTCGAGGAGACTATGCTTGTTTAAGGTGGAAGGCGACAGTCTCTGGGATAAGTGGACTTGGCCACCTTCGCCAGTTTCTTACGGCTTTGGGCCCAGCTCAACACACGAGCAGGGGCAGTGTCTCTGTCCCAGAGAACACAGCCCTGAGACCCCACCACCAGACCCCCACCCACGCCCGGTGCCAGTCTCAAGCCAGCCTCTGGTTTTTTTTTTTTTTTTTTTGACCGGTAAGGGGATCTTAACCCTTGACTTGGTGTTGTCAGCACCACTCTCTCCCAAGTGAGGTAACCGGCCATCCCTATATAGGATCCGAATCCGTGGCCTTGGTGTTATCAGCACCACACTCTCCCGAGTGAGCCATAGGCTGGCCCTGGGTGCAGTTTCTGAAGAATTCTGTGGCTCAGCCATAAAAGCCCATTGCAGAGTGATGTGTGCAGCCTCATAAACACACTCTTACGTAACTCTGGGGAAATGGGGGCAAGGAGTCCCTGAGCAGCAAGTGGCCCTTACATGTTTCCAGTAAGTGTGTCTCCTACATGCGGCCTCTGCACAGCTGAGCACAGAGCAGGGAGGTCTTGGGATTAAAGCCAGGCAAGTCTAGGTTCAAAGGGAGATTTCTACCTTTCCCTATGATATCATTTCATGACATAATTTTATTTTTGTACAAACTTTTACATTTGAACTTCTTTTGGACTCACAGGACAGGTAGGACACAGCAAGAGCTCCCGTGTCGTGGCTTATGGAGCGGAGGTCAACACCGGCCCAGAGACTGCCAGGCTACACAGAGATGCCGCACAGTCAGTGCTCACTAGGTACCAGCTACTCTGTCTCTCTTGTTTTTCTATTTATTTATTTATTTATTTTTGTCTTTTTTCGTGACCGGCAACGGGATCGTAACCCTCGGTGTTGCTCCCGCACCTCGCTCAGCCAGTGAGCAGCCGGTCTGTATGTGGGATCCGAACCCTCGGCGGGAGCGCTGCCGCACTTCCCAAGCGGCGCACTGTAGCAGTGCGCCACCGGGCCGGCCCAGTTGTTTTTTAAGGTTTTTTTAATTTTTATTTTTATCTTTGAATTTTTGTAGTCTCTCTCTTTAGTGGGTTAGTGGTAGGCTGAGAAGTTTGGCAGGGAGGCAATTAAAGTGCAAGGGGACGGAATGGAGAGAAGGGGCACTTGTTTAGTGCTAGTCAGTGACTGTGGACTCTTCTCATGTTTAATCCTCAACCACCTGTGGGCTGTGTGTCCATCTTCCCGTTGAAGCTCCGAGGAGGTAAGGGTCTGGCCCTCGGTCATGCAGGAAGTTGGGGAGCAAGGACTCACACCAAGGTCAGACCCCAGGACCTTGCCACTGCGTCCCGCCAGACCCGACCCAGCTCACCCTGGACCTGGGACATCTGTAGCCTCCAGCCCAGCCCTGTGGACAGCCTACATGTGTTTAGATTGCCCTGGGGCTCTCCCTACACACCACAAAGCTGAATTACTCTCCAGTGTGTGTCTATCACTGCGTGGGTTTGCAGGATGCCTTCCCCTCGGAGAAGGGGGAGGGGTCCTTGTGATCTCAGACCCAGTGACTGACCCGAGGCCAGGGACCCTCCTCTTTACTGGGATGCCAAATCTGCGGCTGGTTGTTCATTTCCTTCCTCCCAGAAAACAAATGGAGGCAGGGAAGCTGAGCCAGGGGAGAGTGCCAGGGACGACTCCAGCCCCTGTGACCTTGCCCCAGCCAGTCCTCTGCTCCTCCGCTTCCTCTGGGGAAGCGGCCAGGCCAGAGGCTGCACCCCCTATGCTGCACCACTAGAAAACCAACTGATGGTGGGAGACAGCTTGACACACCTGGTGGGGGCTTGCAGCCCCTGCCACAGAGGCCGAGTTGAGGTGGCCCTCTGCAGCCTAGCCAGGGAACCCCATGGAAGACAAGGTGGTCCTGCACCTCCTCCACTAGCTCCCTCTCCCCGTTGGGGACTTGCAGAGCTAAACATTTATCCCATCAGGTGCTTGGCACCCAGCACTGCCTGCAAAGCATAAGTTGCTGCTGGCTGCAAACGTGTAAGGCCCCACCTCATCTCCTGCTATGGCCTCCCTCCCCCTCTTCCCTACTGCCAGCCTCTAAAGACCTGGTGTTCCGATGACAGGCAACAGCAATGACACCTGCTCTGCCCAATTCACAAGGCTAGTCTGTGCATGGTGACCAGCAGTCTGGAAGGAGCTGCATGGAGGATGAAGAAGCAGGAGGAGGATGGCTCCTTCACGAACAACTCCACCAAAGCCCCGCGGGTCTTTCCCATCTTCCGGCGTTGGCCTCTGGATCTCTGTGGAGGGGATCTACCAGGGGCCATCCCCTCCTGCTGCTTGCTGTCTCTCCCATTCTCCGGCACATACCTGAGATTTGATAAACAGATCTTCATACGTTAAGGTGGAGCTAGCCACGTGGATACCGAGGGAAGAGCGGCAGGAGCCTGCCTGGTGTGTCGGAGGCAGCAGGAGGCAGCGTGGCCCGAATGGGCTGAGCAAAGTGGAGCTGAGCAGGTGACCTGAGGGAGCAGCCCAGAGCCTGGCGAGCTCTGCTTGGGTCTGAGGTACATTTCGGGACCACCTGGTGCTGGGGGTGAGACAGCAGCGCAGCCGGGCCAGAGTAGGGAGGTGAGTTGAGAGGCTCTCCAGCCCTAGAGGCTGGAATTCTAAAAGTTAAATATCGAAAGATGCCAATTTGGAGTCTCCTGAATCTCTAGGATTCCCTCGCTTCCCCTCTGCTACTCCCTGGTGTAGACGGTCACACCTCCCACTGCCTCGCCTATGGGCTAGGGTCACTGGAGAGAGCTGCTGTTCTCCTGCTCAACGGCCAACATTAAGTCTACACTGGAAGCAAACAGTCACCTCACTGTCTGTGTGGCCATGGATCAAAAAGTGCCAACTTCCACTGATAGAACAACTCTTCACCCTCACTCCCCCTTCTCTTAGAAGCATGCTCCTTAAGGAAACGAAGTGATGATCACTACAATGGATTTTGCTTCTAGTACAGCGATCACTTTTCCCTGGTTAATTTCCGGAGAGACTGAAGGACTCCATGTTATTTTCATTTAGACCAATGAAATTGAGTGCTGTGTGCAAAGGGCACACTTTCTTGATGTGTTAATTAAGGACCCAAACAAGAATAAAAACATTTAGAATCCAGAAAAAAGGCAAAAATTTAAGATCAACAAAGAGACTAAAGGACTCTTTTTTCATTTCAAAGGATACGAGATCTATTTCCCCAGACTGGTCCCTTTATACAAGCATGTCCCTCCCCTGCCAATATAATTAAGAGGCAATCAGGAGATAATCAAAAGTGCCTCAAAGTACGGGCAGCAAACAGCTCCCATATGCTCAATAAATCCCCGGCTGCAGGCAAACAGTATTCAGCAGCGTTGAGGGAGATATTTACTCTTTGTTAAGACAGAAGCAAAGTCAATTATTGCAATTAAACTCTATAAAGATTCCTTGAATTTAATCAAATAAAAAGTTTCAGTTTTCAGAGTTAGAGGAAAGTGTCTACAAGTTTGGGGGAGGTGAAGATGAGAAGCAGGCAAAGAGGGGGTCCGGGCAGCTGGTCACAAAGACCAGCTCTGAGCCCAGTCACGACGTGGGCTGGGCGTCTCTGGAACAGTGCCTCTTGTAAAAAATATTTACATGCCCTCTCACAGCTCAGAGCTGAAATGCCTTCCATCTCATCAAAATCACGAGGAAGAAAGAATTATAACCCATTAATAATTTCCCAGCAGTTTTCCGAGATCCTGGCACAGATGAAAGAGTGGAGGCTGAGCTCACACCACTGGAGTGCGCTGGGCAAGCCAGCTGCCCTCTCTGGGCCTTTGTTTATTTTTTTACCAAAGGAAAGGGCCAGATTAGATGACCTCTGAGTTCCCATTAAACTCTAAAACTTCATGCAAGCTCTCAACAGCAGGACGGCAGTGCTCTCTGATGAGCATTTTATCAGCTGGGTGAAACTGGTTGCATTTTCTGGGATAAAATCAAAACGAACTTGGTCTTAATTTGGGATTCTCAGCTGAGGAGAAGTGGGAAAGGGGTCCTCAGCAGCCAGGAGGGAGCTGGGGAGGTGTCTGGATTAGCACTTCCCACAGCCAGCCGGTGGTGATGCAACCGCACTGCACTCCAGAGAGGAGCAGGGCTGGGGGTGTTTGAGAGCAGATTTTGGGGGAGGAGGCTGTGATTAGCTGTGACCAGCTAATCTGAATTGTGGCCCCCTCCCCAGCAGCTTGGAGCAGCGGGACTTTCTAAGCTGTCGGCTGCTCCGATGAGTCACCCTCCTGGAGAACATGCCATCAGGCAAGAGCTCGGGTTTTCAGGAAACAGGCCTAAGATGGCAAACGCCCAAGTGGTGGGCTGGTGGAAAGCCTTCCAGGACGGCACAACCTCCATCTGCACAGATCAATCACGGAGCGCGGCGCCCCCCGCGGGAGCAGGAAGCACAGGCCATTACCA